ATCCTGTCTGTATCCTTGGTGAATCTGTCTGTCAGTATCCTGTCTGTCTGTATCCTGGGAGAATCTGTCTTTCAGCATCCTGTCTGTATCCTGGGGGAGTCTGTCTGTCAGTATCCTGTCTGTATCCTGGGGGAATCTATCTGTCAGTATCCTGCCTGTCAGTATCGTGGGGGAATCTGTCTGTCAGTATCCTGTCTGTCTGTATCCTGGGGGAATCTGTCTGTCAGCATCCTGTCTGTATCCTGGGAGAATCTGTCTGTCAGTATCCAGTCTGTGTAGCCTGGGGGTCCTGTGTGTCTGGCAGTATTTGCAGTCTTGCAGTTAGCAGGAGACTGGCAGTCCTGGAGTGGGAGTGGGTGCATGTGCGGTATTGCAGAAAGGACCCAGAGAGGTATTACGGAAATAAGCTCTTCTTTCATCTGCCTGAATTGGACTGTAGGCCTAGCACTGATCTCCATCTTCGCTGCAGTGCCTATTTCACCTGGTGTATTTCTCCTTCTCTCCCTCCCGCTGCCAGAACATTGAGGAGAAGCATGCCCTGCGCATTCAGCTAGAGGGCGCCGTGGAGGAACTGTGGCGGCAGTTCCAGCAGGCCCTGCGCAACTACAACGAGGCCACAGAAGACCGGCGAATCGCCTTCGAGGCTCTGCGCGCCCGAGACCAGCGCAGCGCCCAGGAGATCGACGCTCAGATGAAGAGGCTGCAGAAGATGCAGGTGGGTGGGGAGCTGTGTATCTGGCACTTCATGCAGGAAAGCATTAGAGCTCTCAACCGGTTCCTTTCTGCAACTTGATGTGTCTGAATTGGAACTTTCTACCCGCATGTTTCACAGATGTGAAGCAACTGAAACAAAGTCTTGTGCATCTGGGTTTGTCTGTCTGTGCCTGTGTTTCCCAGGACTCGATTTCAGCCCTGCGCTCACGCCTTGCATCCAGCCAGCGTGAGAGTGAGGAGGCGGGCCGTGCCCTGCGGGCCGCGCGGGAGGAGGTCCAGTGCCAGGCCCGTCAGCTCAAGGCCCAGCTGAGCCGTGCCCGCGCACGTGAGAGGAGCCAGTTGGCCACACTCACCGTGCACAGTGCTGCTGCCACCAAGAAACTGCAGCACATCATTCACAAGGTAGGGGCAGAAAGCACAGGCCTGTTGTACACAGAAACCAATTCAGGGCTATTCTACACAGAGCATGCACTGCACAGAACAGTACAGGGCTCTTATACACAGAGCACACACTGCACAGAACAGTACAGGGCTCTTATACACAGAGCACGCACTGCACAGAACAGTACAGGGCTCTTATACACAGAGCACACACTGCACAGAACAGTACAGGGCTCTTATACACAGAGCACACACTGCACAGAAC